TATATATATATATATAATATATATATTTTAAACATGATACAACAATGATAATCATGCATAATTTAATTGAAATTCTATAGCGCGTTTAAATGGTGAATGCATGTCGATTATGAATATATAGAGCTTTTGTATACAAAATGTGTATGCAGTGCAATGGCTTTTGTGTGTCGAAATACATTTTGCGATCTGCTCAAATCAATTTCTGTACTTCACGTTTTGGTCCAGAAAACCGAGCTCCCCTATTACAGCTGTTTTGATTAAATCGATAGAGGACGGACTCCGAAAGAAAATTAATTATAAATTGTTAATAGATTGTAATAGCAAATCTTTTTTCTCTTGTATGCAATAAAGTATAAATAACGTGGAAAATTTGTTATCATTAAAGAAATAATTACTAACAAAGAGCTTTTTCGCTTCATGACTTCCGTTGTTTAGTTAAAATGTTGATAAATCAGATGATTAATTGTTAATTACATAAGATTGATTAATTTATAATGCATTGAAAATGTACGAGTATATATATATGGAAGTATAAATAATTTTTAATTAAACTTTTAATCTAGTTTTGATCGAGTGTTCGTTTTTTCTTATATTTATTTAATAGTTGCGTTCAATGTCCGTCTCTGCCACTTGTATGATAATTAAAGTGATATCGATTTTCTTAATGAGATGTCTGTGGCCGCGTGTCGTGCACGTGTCTTTACCTTTATGTTGTGAATTTAATTTGACAGTGCCCATGTTCTACGAAAGCACATCCGTAACCATTTTCGATGTTCTCTTCATGTGTATACATTCTCTTTTTCTTTTCCCTTTCCCCTCCTCTCTCTCTCTCTCTCTCTCTTTCTCTCTCGTGTACGTACATATGAACAATGTCATTGCGGTAATGCACATATATAGAGGTTGCTATATTCTGTAACCGCAAAATCGCGGCAAACAAATGGACGATTTTCGAATCTATATACCCATTATATGCAATCTAGGAAAATTTAATACAGCTTTACACTTCCGTACTAAAGTGGAAGTAATCCCAGGCGGGCATAAATATTTTACTTGCGTTGCGCACATTTTCAAGAAATTATGCATAGTAGCAATCAAAATGTGAAATAAACATATCTGTATTTTTTTCTAAAAGAAATCTTATATAAAATTTATATTTATATTTTAATGCATACTTTTAATAAATGTTTATAACAAGTTTGACAATTAGGAGCGCTAAGAAATTAATTATATTTATGCACGTTTAACAAAGAAAGAAGGTATTACTAATTTTCTATTTTTTTCAATATGGATTTTCTCGAAAGTAAAACTTCATGGGAAGAAAAGAGTTTATCTTGTACTTCAAAATCACTTTTGTACAATCTCTTTCCTGTTTATATTATGATTTTAGTCGTCCTAAATAATGGCTGCCAAAAATTTCCGACCAGTGAATTATTTTATTATATTGCTCAACAATCTATAAAGATATATAGTATACAAGTTTTTAATATATTTTAATATTTAAGATACCGTGTTCTCAAATTGATTATAACGAATTTTATTAAATCATAATATAAACTAAAAAATAAATTGGCAAAAGTTATCGTCACATTGTATGTTAGTCGAAAACTTTTGGCAACCACTGTACATCGAAACTGAATGTAAGAAGACCAGGTGTAACATTGCGCATAATGATAATATGGAATCAATTTCAAATTAGTCACAAATACCTTTATTACTTTGAACGACTACTCATCCTTGAAATTAGTTCATTCGGTCTTCTTACATCATGAATGAACGTACGTATTAATGGATAGAAAAAATAATATACGGTCGTTTACTGAAATAGGGTGGATATCGATCTTAAGAGCGACTTTAATTCCTTCAGCAATTTTCTCTCGTGAGCGTGTTCGTGTCGGACGCCAGATGGTGGATACTACACAGGCTTTGGTTGGCTAAAGATTTATCACTTTACGAAAATGTATCGTCAGCGGAACGCGTTTTGCTCAGCGTTTAAATTCTACAATTAGCTCTTTAATAGGCGTAAATAGTGACGCGTTAATTAATCTGCTACGTTTATCACAAGTAAATTCTGTATGTTAAACATCGTCGTAAAATTTAGTGAAAAATCGCTGCTAATCTCATCTACTATCTTAACGAGGGGCTAATTTTCTACATACAGTTATAAATCTTAACATAATTTTTTTATTTTGTACCGCAGTTTATTTTGCGCGTGTGTCTAAACACAAATACTCATTAATAACTCATTAATTAGAATTTTACCGGCTGATTTTTACTATATCCTGTACCTTCTATTTTACAATCTAAAAAATTATTTTTTATTGAATAATTTTTTTCTCGCTACAGTATTTTTTAAAATTGAAGTGAAAAACATCAATCCTATATATTGTAAAGTTCTACGAAAATATGTGCCCTGTGATTTCCGTCGACAAGAGTATTGTGAATTTTTCTGGTAATCAATATTTGTTCAATACATACAATAATATGATAAATGTTCTACAAACATTTTTATTTCATATTATTTCATATTTTTTTCCGCTCTGTTCGTAGAATTATATATATGAATAAACGATATGTACAAAATAAGTTAGATATGAAACCGGAAATGTGCTTACCGTGTTGAAAGTACCGTAGACATTGTGTACCGTTTCTTCCGCGCGCTCACGCGAAATCGCATGATATGGAAAAATTTTATTAAATAATCATTTAATCATCAAGCAAAATTAATTACAAAATTAACGAATCTATAAAATAAAACTCTAAACCATAAATATGTTAAATGTAATAATTTATTTATAAAAATTAATGTGGAAATTAATCTAAAAATAGAATTAAATATGAAGTTTCTTAATGATATTAAGCAGAA